ATTCATGTAAACACAGACACACATATGACTGGTCCACTCTGGGCAAAAGTTTAGTTTTTTTTTTTTTTCTTTTATTAGATGAGCAGGAAAGAAATGTAAATGACAAGATGTATAATACATTCCCTTCTCTTGCCTCTGCTTTCTTGTTACATGTTAGGTAAGAGCATCAACTCTTAGAAATTTATACAGAGGAAAAATAGCGCTGGAGGTGTGAGACCAGGAAAACGAGACTCATGGTGATTTCTTTCTAGGGTACTAAGAAAAACACTGGGCATTTCTGTGAGCTGTGCATGATCCTGGATAGTTCTGATTATTTAACTAGAAAGCTATTAAGGGGGCTGGAGAGATGGCTCAGAGGTTAAGAGCACTGACTGCTCTTCCAAAGGTCCTGAGTTCAATTCCCAGCAACCACATGGTGGCTCACAACCATCTGTAATGAGATCTGGTGCCCTCTTCTGGCCTGCAGTCATACATGCTGGATACATAGTAAATAAATAAATAAATAAATAAATAAATAAATCAATCTTAAAAAAAATTAAAAAAAAAAGAAAGCTATTAAGAAAAAAAATCCTTTAAAGACACAACTAGGCTTGGCTATCATGGGATCAGAAAGCCATGTCCTTTCACTTTAGGCTCTCTGCTGCTGGCTGGCTGTCTACCTACACTGCTCTTCACCAGATAGCCAGGGTAAAGAGAAAGCCCTGTCTCCTCTGGCCCTCATGACCAGGTTCTTCAATAATCAAAATGGACATGTCTGAGGACATGAGGCACAAGCTCTCCTAGCCGACACTTAGTTTCTCCTCCCCTCCCCCATGGAACCTCACACCATAGACACATGGTCCGGCTTACAAATGGTAGGCTTGAAACTTGAACCTGTCTGACAGAACACAAGCCTGGCAGACTATGATCAGAATACAGAATGACAGAGAGAGCTGCTGGCAGTTTAATGGAGCTTCAGCACTTGTTCTGCCTGCTACCACCCCACAACTATAAAAACAGAAAAAATAAATCCAGTATGAAAAATACCAGTAGTTTAATGATGCCATTAAACTTTTTAGGTCTTCCTGGGGAAGAGTAAATTAGCCTTTTCTAAGCTATCAATGGTATTTTGAAGGCTATAAGAAGTCCTTTGCATTTCAGAGGACTGACATGTGGCCTGTGCCCTCATGCTCCCATTTTACTGTAATCAATTCAGATGTTACTACCCAGAAATGCGTTAAGAGGCCCCCACACCAAGCTCTCTCCAACTGACAGCTGCCACTCCAGCTAAGTGCCCAATGCTGCTCTGAGTAACTGCAGCTGCAGGATGCTGGATCACAATTCTAACTCTTTGAAAGCCACCTTGTGTGTCCTAGGATATGAAATACAGAACAAAACAAAACAAAAAACAGTTAAGAAAGACCCAGGACAGGAAATGGAATTTCTTAGAATCTGAATAGGCTTTTCTGGGGATGCGATTCTCCTGGTTTCCTAAGCTATATAGCCTGGTAGAGCCTTAGATGGCCACAGGAGTCTGAGGAATCCATTTTCTTTGCTGCTACTTTATTTGTTGAGACAGGATCTCACGTAGTTCGGGCTGGCCTCACACTTACTATATAGCCAACTTCTGATCTCCTGCTACCACCTCTCTGAGCAGAGAGTACAGTGACTCTCCATCAGGCCTGGCTCTTCACTGCTCTTTTCAACAAGCAGATACCAGTGGAGGACTTTGGGGTCAGCAAGAATCTACTGGACCCGACTCACTTGCAGTTAGCCTACAAGTACCACAGTTTTGACCGAATACATCATGAACTAAGACTATAAGAAAGAGGTGGAAGGCAGGATTTTTATGTCTCCAGTTTTTCCTCTCTGCAAAGTCACCTCAGGCTGTGTCCCTCTGACCAAAGGTCATTGCTTGTCTTTGAAGGTATCTTTCTCTACATGAGTCTCAACTTTCAGGCTATGGTAAATGTTCCCTCTCTTGAAGCTTAAGAACTATTACCAAATAGCCCAGTCATGGAAGGTTCACTTTTGTAACTAATTCACCTCTAACACCTTCTTTAAATAACCCTAACCTGAGCAAGCTGTTTCTTGTTGAGACCCTCAGAAATGAAGGTATTCTATTATTTGCAGCCAAAAGCAGCCTCAGTGATATCCCTAACCTGGACATCACAAGAAATGCCAGAACACTTTCCATCCCAGGTTTTGGGGGAGTTAATGTGCTTGTGATATTGGAAGGCAGATTAATGTCAATGAAGAGGAATAAATAACATATGAACATATGCTTTTCAGGTAACCACAGAGAAAGGAGATGAGAGACAACCCTTAATACACAGTGGTATAAAAAATGAAAAGAATAAATCAAGCACTTGGGAGATAAGGCAGGAGGACTAGGTGCTCAAGGCTAGCCTTGGCTACATAGTGTAGCCTGTGGTATGTGATAGCCTGTCTTAAAAAAAGAAAGAGTGTTGTTTTGTGAAAAAGAAAATACAGAGAACATTTTTTTTTTTTTGTTTTTGTTTTTTGAGGGATGGAACTCAGGTTGTCAGCCTTGAGCAACAAGTACTTTACCTGCTGAACCATCTCACTTGCCCTGTATTATTTCTTTTCTTTTTGGTTTTTCTGAGACAGGGTTTCTCAGTGTAGCCCTGGCTGTCCTGGGCTAGCCCAGGTGTAGCCCAGGCTGGCCTCGAACTCAAGAGATCTGCCTGCTTCTGCCTCCCAAGTGCTGGGATTAAAGGTGAGTGCCACCACCTCCCGGTTCAGAGTGAACATTTTTATTCCAAAGTCTACAAGGGAGACTGACATCTTGAAATTTTTTTTTTGTTTTTTTTGAGACAGGGTCTCTCTATGTAGCCCTGGCTATCCTGGAGCTTGATATGTAAACCAGGTTGGCCTTGAATCTACAGCGACCTGCCTGCCTCCAAGTGCTGGAGTTGAAGGCATGTACCACCTCTCTCAACTTCATCTTTTTTTTTTCCTTTGGTTTTCTGAGACAGGGTTTCTCTGTGTAGCCTTGGCTGTCCTGGAACTCCCTCTGTAGACCAGGCTGGCCTTGAACTCACAGAGATCCGCCTGCCTCTGTGTCCCAAGTGCTGGGATTAAAGGTGTGGCCACCACTGCAGGTCCTCAGCTTCATCTTCATGTTTTAATTTTACAGATGGCGGTCAAGTGAGGACTAAAAATATCAAGTAATTTTGAAGGCTGCAGCAAAGGGGTGAACCAGGAATAGAAAACAGATCGAATGATGCAAATTCTGTTTTGTTTTGTTTCTTTTCTCTCTGGAGTTTGCCCTCCCTTTATGAATCAAGCTCAGGAAGTCAGGATGGAACAGAAGAAGAAAGGAAAAGGGAAGAGGAAGCGAGATTTTCTGGTTTATTCTGCCCTTCACAACCTCACTTAAGATTTTTCTGAAATTCCTTTAACATCTAAGAAAAACCACACTGTAGGGAGGGGGCTCTGGGGGAGGGGAACCAACCCAATAGCTTGCAGTAGCCTGGGATTCCAGAATAAATACTGAAGTTGGCAGAACATGTAGTATCCTTCCTCTCAGTAGGTCACATGAGGACATTGCCTAATATCCGTTATGTGTGTTGTGTGTGTCTGGGAACATACAATATTTATGTTCTCCTCAAACACTTAGGTACCTTTTTCTTGTGCCAAAAAGATTTTCTGTGTCCTACCTTCTGATTTAATCTAAAAGTGACATGAAAACTGGTCCTAAAGACTTAGAACTTCTTAGAAACAGGAGGATTGAGTATTCTCCCAGACAAAGGCTCAGATGAAATCATTCCAAATGCTGAGTAAATGGGAGGGGTTTTTAGTGGAAACCATAATGCTATGTTGTGGTCACATTTTCACAATTCTTTGGGGGCTGGGAGGGTGGCCCCTCTGCCTGGATAGGCTGGAAGGCTATTAACATTCTCTTCTGTGGAAACACAGCCCAGATTTGAGAGTCAAGACCAAGTCATGAGACTCACTGGAGTCAAACCCTGGCACGAGAAGCAACTGCTTTTAGACAGCTGTGCTATCACCCTAAACCACAGCCTAGAACATGCTCACAGGGAAAACAGACCAGATCTGCTGTCACCCTGAAAACACAGCCTAGAGCATGCTCACAGGGAAAGCAAACCAGACCCATCAAGTCAGAGAATTTCAGCATGTGACAGCTCAACAAAATGGTCCTCAAGTCATGTACATCTGATCCAAAAGCAGATGATGATTTTAACCCCTAAAGGTAGCGAAATCACTCATTTTAACAATCAACTACCCAATTATTATTGAAAACAGTTGTCTCTCATTCATACAGGAAACAACTGAAGACAGTAGTGGGTAGAAAGGCAGGCCAAAACAATAGCTTTTGTGGGAAAGTATCAAAATGCATGACAAAGCAAAGCCTAGAGAAATAGGTAAGGCAGCCTTGACTATTATTTGTGGGTACTGAGTCTAAGATGTTTTTCCTTTGTAATTTTTTTCAGTTTCACACAGCACATATATAAAATTTGATTAAAGATTTGTGGTTTTTTTTTTTTAAAGAGTGAGCTGTTTTGGGGTATAGCCCTCAAATGGGGTAGTATACAGTTGGTACATGACCAAAATTACTAGAGAGCTCAGTAAAACTTAATACTGAAAAAAAAAAAAGGTTTTTTTTTTTTTTCCGTCAAGAATTTTAGGGAACACTAGCAGTACCTTAGGAGCACCCAGTATCCATCTTGATGAGGCTGTAGCCAGCGTCATAAGATATTGACAGGTGTTAATTAAATGTGCACTTAACTGAAAACTGGAATGAGGCTCTAATTTCTCTTTTGGTCTATATCTATCAAATACCTGAAAGATTACCTGCCTAATCTTCCATGCCAATCTTAAATTCATATTTTGAAAAAATTGATAGAGAAATGAATCCAAGTTAAAAAAAATCATATCCAAGTTTAGGCTGAGCACTGGCTACAGAAAATGCCTCTCAGCTTCCCTTATGGAAGTGTCTGGAAATGAGGGTCAGAGAAAGCCACGTAGGGACGTACCTCGCCAGCAAGATCCCTTGGTACTCTTCCAGTTGTCTCATGAAGCTGGGGTTAGGCTTGGTCACTGTGCGCCTTTCCTTCACGTAGTCATAGGCTCGGTCCAGGTTCCAGCCGTACTCCTTCATTGCGTAGGCAATCACAGTGGAGGCCGAGCGGCTCACCCCCATTTTGCAGTGCACAAGGCACTTCGATCCATGCTTCCTAGTTGGGAGATGGAGGTGAAGGCAGGACAGTGTGAGAGCGGGGTTCCCATCCCTGGACTGCCCTCCTCTCACCCTCTTTCCTTTCGCTATGTATACAAAGCTTTCACCTTAGTATATCCAAGTGACTCACTCTATGACCAAACATGAGGGCCAAGCAGGCAGCTTCCACTGTACTTTAACTAATAGCTACTTGTTTTTCTCAAGACAAGGTTTCTCTGTGTAGTCCTGGTTGTCTTGAACCGAACTCTGTAGCCCAGGCTGGCCTCAAACTCAGAGATCCGCCTGCCTCAGCCTCCCCAGTGCTGGGATTAAAGGAGTGTGCCACTACTGCTTAGCTTTTTTTTTTTCTCCCAATATTAATATTAAGTCTCTTAATCTACTCAGTACAGATTTAACAAGCACTTACCATATATAAGATAATATGTACAAGGTGTTGGGCAGAAACTTAAGTAACACACAGCTTTGATCCTAAAGGGTAGGATTTAGTTCCAGAAACAGATCATTAAAATTCAATGTGCTAGTGAAGGTCACAGAGTGGAGGTGGAGAAGTTAGCTTTCAGAGCTGGAGCTCATTTCCTGTGTGGTGGAGGCCAGTTTCCTCACAGCCCTCAGGCATGGCTCCTGAGTTACAGGTGTGGTAATGACTCATCCAATTTATTCTAATAGAGTTGTTTCTAGTTAAATTCCCAGGAAGGTCTCTGTCCCTGGAGGAAAGCATACATGAAGCCAACTTTTCTTCTCTATTCAGATAGCACTGTTCACACAGCACCACAATGCCAGAGACAGAGGAAAGCATGTGATACAGCACATGCTTTCTTAGTGATGAAGGTGGAATGAATGGCAGCTGCCTGTTTTTTACATGCTCTGAACTAAACTCAGGCTCCACACATACTAAGGACGTGCTCTATTGTTAATCTAAGCCCCAGTTCCTGCGGGTTTTTAATGCAAGGGAAGGAAGAGAAAACAATGCTACCACAAAGCAAACAAAATACATCAGTCTAAACAGGTCCTAGTTAATTATCTTGGACGTAAACACTGTTCAGTTATGTTCTAACTCTAACAAGGTAGTGTTATAACACACAGTCAGTCTTCAAGGATCTGTTAAATGCATGAATAAATTATGGATCTGCTGATCACATTTCCCAGCTGTTGAAGAAGGAATATTTTAAAACCTAGAGAAAAAGAACAGTCACTCTTATGGCTACTGCTCATAGATCCCAGAATCCTTTCATGTAACTGTTCCGATAAATCAAAACATATATATGTGAGCATAAGGGGACAAAGCTATTCATTTGCTCACTGACTGTATTGATAGTTGACAAGCTTTCTTTCAGAAGCTTATAATCTTGTTTTTCTGGAGACATGAGCTATATGAATGAGTGAGGAATTACCAGTGCAAGCGAGTTTGAGGTGACTTGTCCAAACAAGTGAGCAGATAAGCAAAGAATGCAAAGTATGGAATGGAATAATTTTCTTTACTTTTAAAAACTGCATTTATCTATTTGAGTATGTGTGGGTGGGCAGGCATCTGAGTGTGTGGTACACATGTGGAGGTCACAGGATGACTCGGAGGAGTCAGTTCTCTCAATTTCTACCTTGTGTGTTCTGGGGATTAAACTTAGGTCATCAGCTTTGGCAGCAAGCACTGAGCCATTCGCTGGTCCTTACACTATAGAATTTTTATTAGTCTACAGTTTGGAAGCCAATGCACAGTGACTCAGATGAAAATTTAGACGTGTGCTCTACATTTTCCAATTGAACTCTAACAACTTTAACATATCAAATTTTAGGCCTTTGTCTGTAGGCATGGAATGTGCTTAAACTTGGACAAGTCTAAGTAAAATAAAATTCATTCCCTAAGAAAGCACCTCTTTCACATTTTTCTTTTCTTTTCTTTTTTCAAGACAGGGTTTCTCTGTGTAGTCCTGGCTGTCCTGAAACTTATTCTGTAGACCAGGCTGGCTTTGAACTCAGGGACTGGCCTGTCTCTGCCTTGCAAGTGTTGGAATGGAAATAAAGGTGTGTGCTACCACACTCGGCTTCTTTGGAATTTTTTAACTGAGCTTTTTAAGTGCACAGCTTCTAACTTATTTAAGAAGGATTTAAGTTAGTTTTCATTTAACCTATACTTCAATTTCACCCCTCAATCCCTGTGTAGGATGGTTGAGATTAAGTCTTACATCATCATATTAGGAATAGGGTCTTGTAGAAAGAATTATAGAAGGAGGAGTTCCCCCTCAGACTGACTCAAACTTGAGAAACTTATGAACAACTGCATCCATTTATGACCTTGGTGCTTGTGGTGGCTATTTTGGTTGTCAGCTTGGCTACACCTGGAATCATCTAAAACTCAAAAATGGCTGAGCACACCTGTGAGAGATTTTTGCTTAATTAAATCATTTCAAGTGGGAAAATTCACTTCTAATTGAGATTTTTGAGGTGGGAAGATGAACCTTCAATCCAGATCTTTTGAGGTGGGAAGACCCACCTCTAAATCTGGACCTGCCTTCTGCTGGCAGCTTGTATAAAGGAAATGGAAGAAGGAAGACTTGCTCTTTGCCTGCTTGCTCCTACCCTTGCTATCAAGTCCATTCCTTGACTGGCATTGGAGACTACTTCTTTGGGATTCCAGTGTATCCTGAAGACCAGTGGAGACATCCAGCCTCATGGACTGAACAACTCCTGGATTCTTGAACTTTCCGTTCATAGGCAGCTACTGTTGGGTTAGCTAGACTGCAGCCTATGTATGTAAGTCATTAGAACTCTCTGTCTCTGTCTCTGTCTCTGTCTCTGTCTCTCTCTCTCTCAAAGTTCTCTTAATCTAGAGAATTTTGACTAATACAGATATTGGTGCCAAAAGTGGTTCTAGAGTAACAGAAGTATAAGGATGAATCTTTTAAACACCTGGAATAGGTTTTCCAATTTGCCAGCCCATACAGTTATAAAAGCCTCTCCTGTTACTGAAGCCTTTCTTGGAAGCTTGAAGAATATTTAAAGCCCATGGTGTGCACTATTTTACAAAATTAAGGAGACAAATGCATTTGATGGTCCTGATTCTCCAACTGTGAGAGGCAACTGATTGGTGACTGGAGTCCTGTCTATGAAGACTGTTAAGGGGGTGTAATTTCTGAAAGAAGTTAATAAAAAAGAGGTATTTCCATCTACTAAAGATGGTTTGAATGCTGTCTTTTCTGAAGAGGGATGTGGCCAAGTAGCTCATTTATGATTCATTCTTCCTAGTAAAAGGATGAATAAAATGGGGAAGGAAGTCCTCAGAGCTTTAGGAGTCAATTAATTTGAAGGCAACATGACAAAAGGCAAGAGAAAAACTTCACCATTTAGAGTAGCCACAATAAAGCCACTGACTGGGAAGATTTCCAACGCTCACTACTTCTCTTCTTATATTCAGAAAGACCTGGTATATTGCCTATTCACAATAGTTTTTGCTATACAACTTACAAATATCTCCAGGGCCAATTTAAGAATTTAATTCAGAACCAGGAATGGTGGATAGTGCATTCTTTTAATCTCAGCTCTTGGGAGGCAGAAGTAGGCAGATTTCGGTGAGTTCAAGGTCAGCCTGGTCTTCTTAAGAGTTTCAGGCTATTTAGGACTACATAAAGAGACCTTGTCTCAACTTTTTTCCCCTCCATTTCTCATTTTTATTTCTTTTTCTTTTAAGATTTATTTATTTATTTTATGTATGTGAGTGCTCTATCTGCATGTACACCTGCAGGCCAGAAAAGGGCATCAGATGCCATTACAGAAGGTTGTGAGCCACCAGGTGGTTGCTGGGAATTGAACTCAGGTCTTCTGGAAGAGCAGCCAGTGCTCTTAACCGCTGAGCCATCTCTCCAGGCCCTCTTTCTTTAGCTGCGGTATAATTCCATTTTCTTTCATTTTCTGCTTAGTGGAAAATGAGGCTATATGAGGTTATTTTATTCTAAGGGATTTCATTTGCTTAAAGGGAAAGTACTAGGTCACTAATCTTCTGTCTAGGATTATAAAATCTCAGGACCTTTTCCCCCTTTGTATCCTTTTCTCTAAGCACTGTCAGTAAATTATGTCAGTCTCTCACCCACAGTTATGTTCACACTATGAACAGGGATCCGAATGCTGTGTGGGACAATACTCACTTGGCTTTAGAGATGAATTTGTACGTGTCATTCCAGTAAGCCAGGAGATCCGTTGCCTCTTCATCATATACTCGGATGTTGTGATACTCAAAGACTCCAGGGAAGAAGTTGTCTATCTCTCGAGTGACATTCAAGATGTACCGTACCCTGTGAAGAAATCAAGGGAGGGCATGTATTCTGTTTCTCAGGCTAAAATGAATTTCCAGCACCATATCCTGCCATGTTCAATACCTAAATACCATTTCATTTTATATATGGTTACAGGATCTCATCTTTGATAGTATTTTGGAAATAGTCCTTATATCTGTATCAACTAAAAATCAACCTAAGACCCACAACCTAGCAATTTCTGTTCTTAAAATTCCCAACAATAAAATTTTATTTGGAAGTTGTTTGTATACAACCAGATGACTGATACACTCCAAGAAAAAAGAGAAAAGGAAAATTTTCTTATTTTTCTCAATGCCAGATTGTTAGGCAAGAACCTGTGAGGGAAAGCTGGGCCTGAAACTCCCTCAAGTCAACCTGACTGCATTCTGCCAAGAGTTCTCACATGTTGAGCAGTTAGCAGAAAAGGATTTCTCTATTAAAAACTTTCCCATCATCTCTCTCCCTGCACCACCTTAATTATTGTGTGGTTTAATTTACCAAAGGCTCTTTTTTCTTCAATGTTGTATAGACTTAAACATCACTGAAGTTTACTCCAGCAACACAGGCTCAGTTCTTTCTACAAAAACTGTTCCCTTCAAATAAGCACATGTGGGGCTCCACAACTCAGTTTCTGAAGAAGACACAGCGTTACTACACAAGCATTAGCCCCGCTCCACAGCGTGCATACATGTGGTCCCAGCATCATTATTCACGACAGCCGAAAAGTGCCTGTCAGCTGATGACACCAGTGGCTTCGAGAGACAGGGAAGAAGGGAAACATGACCAAGGAAGCATACACGGTCTCCTGGTGTGAAAAAATGCTCTCAATTAACTAGGTGGTTTGCATAACTCAGAAACATTTACTAAAAGCCACAGAATTGTACATTTTAATTGTCTTAACTATACTGCATTATGAGTTACATTCAATAAAATGATTAGAAGAAAAAGCAAAAACATTTACTTATTTTTATTTACTTATTTTTTTGAGACAAGATCTCTATGTGTAGCCTGGGCTTGCCAGAAACTTTATGTAGACCAGGCTGGCTGACAATTCACACATCCACTTGCCTCTTCCTTCTGAGTGCTGGAATTAAAGGTGTAAGTCACCATGCCTGGCTCACTGATTTTATATTATTTAAAATAAAAATGAGGGGCTGGAGAGATGGCTCTGAGGGTTAGAGGGCTTGCTGCTCTTCAGAGGACCAGAGCTCAGTTCTCAGCACTCATGTGGAGAAGTTCACAACTAGCTGTGATTCCCAGCTCCAGGGGGTTAGATGCTCTCTTCTGCCTCCTCTTTGACTCACAAACATGGAGCCGCGCGCGCACACACGCACACGCACGCGCGCGCACACACACACACACACACACACACACACACACACACACACAGAGTAAACTACAACAACAACACCAAATCAATCTCCTACTTCTAATCCTATACTTCAGTAATGGATTATGGCATCATCTCTAGAGAGACAGGAAACAGTTTCCTAATTCTTTTCCTTCTGGAGCTGAAAATGCCTACTGCTGATTGGTGCTATAACTCCTTGGAATTTCTTTGGTGTATCAGCAATTCTGTAACTTTAGTTCCTAAAGTCAGTAGACTATCTGGAAATGACCTTACTATCAAAATTGCAATTTGAGCTGGGTTGTGGTGGCACATGCTTTTAATGCCAGCACTCAGGAGGCAAAGGCAGGTGGATCTCTTGTGAATTTGAGGCTAGCCTGGTCTACAAAGCGAGTTCCAGGACAGCCAAGGCTACACAGAGAAACCTTGTCTCAGAAAACAAAAAAACAAACAAAACCCCAAAAAATTGCACTTTGAAATGCCATAAATCACTGTCAGGAAATAGTACATACAGTTTTGTGACAGACTAAAGTTTAAGACCCACTGAATTTAAGAAATAAGACCCAAGTAGATGTTTGCACATCCAATCATTCTGTTTTTATTTTATTTTATTTTTTGTTATTTTTTTCCCCCAGAGCTGAGGACCGAACCCAGGGCCTTACGCTTACTCTACCACTGAGCTAAGTTTCCAACCCCCATTCTGTTTTTAAAGACAACTAGATTTAGTTACATTTTGAAGTTTAGCCTTATAAGAGTAAATGATGGCTGTTATTCCACAGTAGAGTGACTACAGATAAGTACATACTGTATATTTAAAAAAGCAAAAAGAAAAGATTTTGAAAGTTTTCATCACCAAGAATTGATAAATGGGGGCAGAAGAGATGGCTTAACAGTTAAGAGCCAGCATAGCAGCTCACAACCATCTCTAACGCCAGTCCCAGGGGATCTGATATCCTCTTCTGGCCTCCAGGGCACCAAGTATGCAAGCAATACACAGACATATATGCAGCCAAAATACCAATACACATAAAAAGCAAAATAAAACTTATTAAAAAAAATGAAAAATGTTCCAGATGACAAACTTGATTTAAAACATTAAATATATGTACCTAAACATCACATGGTACCACATTAATGTATACAATTTTAATATTTTTATAAAATGTTTAAATAAAAGAAGCATATGAGATGGAGTCTCACCTCCAGCTAGTATTATAGCCTACTATATGTCTATACAATGTGATTACAATGTATTTGGCAAGCAGTGCTATGTCAAATCGCAGATTTCATATTAAATATTATATCTAAGTTTTCCAGAATGATAGAACTTTCAAACTTTACAGAATTGTAAGCTGTCAAAAACTGGTCCCACTCTCAGGAAATTTAAGTAAACTTCTGCAGATAAAGTGGAGTCAATGTTGTTTTTCAAGTCCAATCAGGGTCTCATCTTCAAGGACCCTGTCAAGAAGCCTACCAGTGAACAGTTTATCTGGTTTGTTTAATTAATTTATTTATTCTTTTGTGTTTCTAGACAGGGTTCCTCTGTGTAACCTTGGCTGTCCTGGAACTCTCTCTGTAGATCAGGTGATCCTCAAACTCACAGAGATCCTCCTGCCTTTGCCACCCAAGTGCTGGGACTAAAGGTGTGTGCCACCACTGTCTGGCAAATTTATCTAGTTTTAAGAGGGCAAATGAAAGACACAGGATGAGAGTCTAGATCTTTGAATTCTCAGCCCAGTTTATTAGTTGATTCCTCCTTTCATCTGTCATTAGGCATATGACAGTTCTTACATGTGTATGAATTTTTTATCGTTCATTCACACTGAACATTTTAGTGTGAAGCTTTGAGCTAGGATGATAAAAAAAATTCAAAAGATGAATATATAGTCTCAAAAAGCTCCAGACCAATCCTTACTAATTAAAAATTTCCAAGTTATACTTATTTTTATATCTTCAACTAAGCAACTAGATTTTCATACCTGGGTTTTTCTTTGTATGGAAACTAGAAGTTCATTTTTTTAATTATAAAACATCTTTCTTGTCAGGGAGAGAGAACAGTAGGTAGTGTGCATGACACTTATCAGCACCTCAGACTCTCAGTCTATCATGGCAATCAGAAATAATTCATTCTCTTCTTCCTCTGGCCTAGGCAAGCTCTATCACTTAACTACAGTCCTAGCAACTCAATTTAATTTTTAAAGAGTACCAAACACTTGGGAATTTGTTTCAAAGCCATTCCATTAATACAAGTGATATTTCTTGGGAGGGAAAAGGATCAAATGGTTGAGAGAATAACTGCTCTGATTTTTTTTTCTGTAAGATAATAGCTGAGAATTGAAAGTGACCCTAAGGATTAAAGTTTACCCATTGATACTTCTTTGACAGGAAAACATAAAGGTTAAACAGGGACTTCTGTCATACAGAGATGTCAGCAATTGCTTTGTGTGCTCACCCTCGGTTCTGTAAGTCCTCTAAGTTCGAGGCATTCCATTCTGAGCCCTATGGAGCCAAAAAGACAAGGTTAGTGAGTATTATCAAACCAACTAAACAGGGTATTTGGGAAGGAGCACTGCGGGGAAAGTTTCTGAAAAGTGACTCAAAAACATGTACTCAATGCCTCTAACCAGGAACTTTATGTTATCACACCTAGTTTTTATTAATGATAGTACAAAAATTATCTTTTTTTTCAGGGTGGGAGTGGTGAGTGTGTGTTCACATGTGAACGGACAAGTGCCACAGTATGTATGTGGATATCAGAGCAAAATTACTCTGTGTCCAATACTCTCATGTTTCCCATGCTAACCTAAAAAATTCTGCTTTTCTGTAAAAGGTCTCTATTCATACGCAGGTTTTTCTCAGCCAAATTAGCCTCCAGGAGAGCTGTTGATACATAACCAGGTTGGGCAAAGGCTTCTAGCTTAAGAGAAGTTGTACAAACTTAAAAGGATTTAGATGAATCTTTTTTCCTAATGATAATCTGGCTTCCCACCAATCAATCTTTCCTTCTCACTGCAGGTTTTCTCTGAACTATGTTCTAAACATTCCTTCTCCATATCAGCTGATACCTTTCTGAATAAACAGATCCCTGTGCGGTATACTGCAGAGCTGAGCATTCTTCCAGAGGGAGGGGAATTGCTGCCTGTCCTCTCACAATCTGGTTGAGCTCCAGGTATGGCAACTATGCATGAAATGAGATGACTTTGAGAAAAGTAACCCTGCAACTTGAAACTCGGATAGATCTCTTTTCCCATGTCAACTGCTGGGAAAGTGTACACTCCCTGGGGAGGAGAAAAGGGTTGGACATAGGACATGTGGTATATAACCAAGGGGAAGCCACCAAAACAAGTATAAGATGCTTAGTTAACTTCTTCAAGCAATTATTTTGCATTTTGAATAAGAGTTAAATTTTATAATTCTCCTATTTGGAAGGGTTTTTTTTTTTTAAATAAAAAAATTATTCATGGGGCTGGAGAAATGGCTCAGCAGTTAAGAACACTGACTGCTTTTCCAGAGGACCCAGGTTTCAATTCCCAGCACCCATGTAGCAGCTCATAAATGTATGTAAGTCCAGTTTCAGGGCATCTGTCACCCTCACATAGATATGTAGGCAAAACACTAATGCACATAAAAAATAAGTTAAAAAAAGAAAATTATTCACACCTTTAATCCCAACACTCAGGAGGCAGAGGTAGGAGGCTCTCTGAGTTTGAGGCCAGCCTGGTCTGTAGGATGAGTTTCAGAACAGCTGGGGCTACACAGAGAAATCCTGTCTCAAAATAAAATGAAAAAAAAAAAAAAACCAAACAAACAAAAAAAAACAAAACCAAAAAACAAAAAAACGAACAACCAACCAACCAACCAAAGCAAAACCAACCAAATTTACAAGTAGTAATAACTCTCATACTCTAATAGTAGACAGGTACCATAAATATGTCTAAATTCATACCGCATACAAACGTTCTATATAATTTATGGACCCAGCTGATAATGATGTGCCAATCAATGCAGGTTCATTAACTCTAACAAATGTACCACTCATTCATTCATTCATTCATTCATTTATTGAGACAGGGTTTTTGTGTATCTTTGGCTTTCCTGGAACTCGCTCTGTAGACCAGACTGGCCTTTAACTCATAGAGACCCACCTGCCTCTGCCTCCCAACTCCCAAGTGCTAAGACTAAAGGCATGTACCACCATTGCCCGGCCCAAATGTACCACTCTTGACAGGGTATGCTGATTATGTGGCAGGCTATATATTCATGGCAGCTGAGGATACACGGGAAATTTTTAATCTTCTGCTCAATTTTCCTATGAATCTAAAAAAGACAACAATGATACCTTCTTGGGTAATGATTAAAAGTGATTTATTATCTTCTAAAATTGAAAAAATTCTACAATGAACTTTAACTATTTTATTTTATGTGTATTAATGTTTTGCCCATAGCCCATATGTGCTCTACCTGTGTGTCAGAAAAGGGCTTTAGATGCCCTGGAATTGGAGTTCTGGATAGCTCTGACCATCATGTGGGTGCTTGGACCTATTCACTATGTAGTTTGGGTTGACCTTACATTTGTAACAATCTTCCTGCCTCAGCTTCGGCAGATGGGATTACAGGCATGAACTACTATGCCTGGTGAATATAAATTATTTTTGTAATAAAAAACTCAAGAAGGAATCCTAAGAGAAATCTGTTGGTGGAAATAAACACATTTGTAGGTGATTAGGGAAATATAATTTGGGGGAAATTGGACTGTTATTTCTGCTTTTAGTAATATTAAAAATTGCTATATACCATAAAATATACTATTTGAAGAAAGGGTAGAGGAGGCAGTTCTGAATTCTAGTTGGAAGTGAGTGGTGGTAGAGACACAGGAAATATGCCTGCCTGGAACAAAACAGGTTGATCAGTCAAAAAATGTCTATACTTGATATTTATCATGTCTGTATCTATCTATCATTCATTCATTCATTCATTCATTCATTCATTCAAGACAGGATCTCACTACATAGCTCTGGCTGGCCTAGAACTTACTATGTAGACCAGGCTGGCCTCAAACTCAAAGAGAGCTATCTGCCTCTACCTTCTGAGTGTTGGGATTATAGGTGTGCACCATCATGTTAGGCAACTTGTCCACATCCTTTGTGTGTATGGTGCTGGTGTTCAAACTCTGAGCCCAGGACATGAGAGAAAAGTTCCACATTTTTAAAAAAAGTGTTTAAGTCCACATTTAGGGCTGGGAATGTGGTTCAGTGGTAGAGTCCTTGTCTACACAAGTCTCTACACTTGATCTCCAGTACCAAAGAAACAAACAAGCAATATTTGATGGTAAAATGATCTCTAGTTTGATCCTGATCCCTTTCTTCCTAGGGTCTCATGGCTCCCAGATTGAATTCAAATTCTCTATGCAGCCGAGGACGACCTTGTCCTGAGTACTGGAGTGTTACCGCACCCAGCTTACATGGTGTTGGGGACCAAACTCAGGACCATATGCATGACAAATAGACACTGGACCACCTGGGCTACATCTTCAGCCAGCTCTGGCCACTATCTAACAGGAGCTCTTTTTGGCTACCAGCAATTTGTCCTTCATAGAAATTCAGTCATATTTCATGGAGTCTGGGCAAAGAGTGAGTGGCTCCTAAGATTTCTACAGACAACACAAGAATTCCAACAATGGAAGAGTAGGATATTTTTGAGACCTCATGAAACTATACACTAGAGATAACAAATTCAGGCTCCTTATCCATAGAAAGGCCAGTACAATCTACACCCAGAAATAGCAACACAGCTGGGTGGTGGTGGGGCACACCTTTAGTCCCAGTGCTGGGGAGGCAGAGGCAGGTGGATCTCTCTGAGTTTGAGGACAGCTTGGTCTACAAAGTGAATTTCAGAACAGCCTGTTACACAGAGAAACCCTGTCTCAAAAGAAAACAACTAATCAACAACAACAACAAAAAAACCACAACAACCCAGAAATAGCAACACATATTAGCCAAGTTAAAGTATTGGGAAAAGGCCAGGTATGGTGGTGAACACCTTTAATCTTAGCACTTGGGAGGCAGAGGCAGGTGGATCTCTGTGAGTTTGAGGCCAGCCTGGGCTACAGAGTGAGTTCCAGGATAGCTAGGGATATGTAGGAGAAACTCTGTCTCACCCCCAACTCCCTACAAAAAAAAAAAAAAAGTACTAGAAGAGAAGATCCCCTTTCAGTCCACAGCTCTGCACAGTCATTTTATAACTATGGGCCATATGAATCAAACTAGAGACAAATATGCTCTAAAATGTCAAGCTTTCAATAGTACCAAGTGTGACTGCATGATAAAATAAACTCTGGAGCATTCAGAGTGAGGTAATACAGTTTAGCCAGTTTCTGTGTGTCTACCCTTCTTCTATCTGTATCCTGGCTTCTAACCAGTTCAGTTCATATATGTGCTCATCAGAAAAGAGAGGTGCGACATTTCTGGATGTAGATAGTACTTGGCCTCTCTATGGATCAGGATCAGAAGCTTTTCTAACATATTTTTGGCCAAATTGTATAGGAAGTGGAAACAAAATGATGGTTTAGCATTCTTCTTTGCTCTTAAGTATTCTTGTTAACTTTGTTCCTGCTACCATGTACACATGAAATTAGAATTCCTCAACCTTATCTAGTTTCTCTGTGTCTTTCTTGAGGCAATTACAGGTCACTGAATGTTTGGGAACTATGAAGAAAAATTTTTAGTCACTGACTTTTTGGTAATCATGAAAAGCAATTTGGGGGACTCAAAATGCTGCGACATGGTTTCATTATGTTTAAAAGTTGAGGGCTGAGGATGTAGTTCAATGGTAGAGTATATACTTAACATGTGCAAGGATCAGGATTTGATCCATAGGAATCCAGAAAATACCGAAGTGAATAAATCCCAATAGACTTTCTGTTATAAGCTGTCCCATTTGCTCAGATGAAATACATCAGGTCTTATATACATTCAGTAGACTAGGAAGGTGTAAAAATCATCCTAGTTAGATATACTGAGTGAAACCACAGCAGACTAGCATGTTTGACTCTGAGTACTACTTAAAACAAAAAAAGATGAAATATTTAACAACCTAGAGGAAGAAAGCCCTGGTTTATAGCATTTGCTAAATTCCTTGGTATAAATATTACCACCATACTCAGCTTTAATCCACATAAAAATCCACTGAAAGAGGAACTGGGAAAAAATGAACAGCAGCAGCAAGATATTACATACTATTTCCACCATACAACACATATATATAACTTTAAAAAGCAGTGTTAGAAAAATAATATAGCAAAATTATTAGAAAGCAATGAGGCTTGAGTACATATTGCCTAAGCTTTTAATTTAGTTACATTAAATTTTTTTTAGATTTATTTACTTTATGTGTATGAATATTTTGCCTGCATGTATGCCTGGTGCCTGCAGAAGTCAGCAAGGGGCTTCAGATCCACAGGAACTAGATATGGATCTAGTTATGGATGATTGTGAGTCACCTTGTGGGTGCTGGCAATCCAACCCAGGTCCTCTGCAAGAACAGTAAGTGCCCTTAACCACTGAGGCATCTCTTCCGTCCAGTTACATTTTATTTAAATATAATAAAACAACAACTGTCTTGAGTCTGAAGCTAGTTTCAAAATACCACTTAAAGTGGCTTTAAAACTTACCAGGAACACATGCTCAAATATCTGTGTAGGACTATCCATCTGACCAAGGATCACTATCATTTCATTGTCTATGAATTCCTTGAATTCTCGCAAGTTGCACACCATCTGCATTTCCAACTCTGTACGTATCTGAAACAGAGAGGATGTACTGTGTTTATCTCTGTAAAGTTCTTCTGTATTTTCAATACCATTTTTAGCTCCATACCTATTGTTATTTCACTTCTAGCTTTGGGACAATGAGGACTCAATGTTGCTTACCTCTTTGGATGTGATATTTTCCAAATCCTTTTGCATCATAATCTCCCTCAATTTGGTTTTAATAAGCCTTTCTGTTCGTTCACGTTCAGTTGGTCTGAGGATAGACAAGCAATGACTTTTCTTAAACAAGAATTTAATCAAAGTAATGAATTCACCATTTGATTATGTTTCCAAACTACTTCTCTTACTCCATATTTATATTACAGAAGCATAGCATAGCACATGAAAACTATATCTAACTACACAGTGAGTTTCAGGCCAATGTGGGTACTACATAATGAGACAATGTCTAAAACAAAAACAAAAACAAAAACAGACTAACAACAAGAGCACCTTCCCAAACTAAACCAACCAAAATTAAAAAAAAAAAAAACCAACAAACAAAAAAATATAGAACATAATAAACGTGAAAATTACTGGAACAGGTTCTAAGTGTTTAAAAGTCTTTAAATACACCAAGAATGTATAGATCAATGAAGAATCAAAGACAAGCTGGGTATATCAAGTATATCTTATGTCTCTATCAAGAACCCCTGGATATCATCACCTACTGAGTTAGAATGCCAATCTGGGTAGAATAGTGGTGTGACTTAGTAGAACCAGACCTTAAAATGCCATCCTATGCTGATCATTCATTGCTGTGGGCCTGTAAGATAGGAAGGAGGAAGACTGATCCAACCTCCTCCAACAAGGCAAGTTTTATTCCAGAATAGGTTGTAGGGTCAGCTATCTGGAATACTTCCATCTGAAACACTTTCCTTTTCATGGTAACTCTCAGAATAGCTCCATGAATTTTTTTTTTCTTTGAGACAAGGTCTTGCCATGTAGTCCAGGTTAGCCTAGCTAGCTTTTCAGTCTTCTTGCTTTAGCTTTCCAAGTACTGGGACTATAGGTGTGTATCACTGCCCTTTTCTTCGTGCTCACTTCTGTGAAATTTTTATAATTCTATAGTTAAGGAGACAAACATGTTAAAAAATATGCTGATAATCACACATATTAGCAGGAAAATCAGACCACTCACTATAGCCCAGCTCTCTATCTGCAGGATTGTGTTGATTTTTAGTTTTCAGACTCTAAATTACTCAAGGCCAGGTATGATGGCACATGTCTTTAGTCCTAACACACTGAGTTAGAGGCCAGCCTGGTCTACATAGTGATTTCCATGACAGCCAGGGCTACATAGTGAGATCCTGTCTCAAAATAAATAAATAAAAACAAATTTACTCAGCTGGGCAGTAGTGGTGCATGCCTTTAATCCCAGCACTCGGGAGGCAGAGGCAGGCATATCTCTGTGAGTTCAAGGCTAGCCTGGTTTGCAGAGCTACTTCCAGGACAGCCAAGGCTACACAAAGAAACCCTGTCTTGAACCTCCCCCACTCGCCCCTCCAAAAAAGAAAAAGAAAGAAAGAAAGGAAGGAAGGAAGGAAGGAAGGAAGAAAGGAAGAAAGGAAGAAAGAAAAAAAGAAAGAAAGAAAAGCATTAGTTCAGTGTAACTGGATGCTTCTCTCTAGTGGCATGGTTCATATTATGGAGAATTTGAGTACTTTCTGTCCCATCTTTGCCCCTACCCACTCAAGAAAGGTATCTGCTTTGCATCTCCTTATTTGGAAATGGACATGGCTTAAGCCTTCAGGCATCCTGCCTGTTCCTGCTGCTTACAGCCTTATCACTGGCTGCAAAAATAGCCTCTGTAATCTCCAATTCTGTATGCTGCATCTCCACACACTTGGAGCCCGACATTGCTTAGGCACTCAGCTTCTCATGAACTTTGCAGAACACAGCTAATACCTGTTTGGTTCTGCCAAGGCATTTCTGTCTTGAATAGGAGTGCAATTCTTATCTAGGCTTCATTTTTCCTGGACACAGTAGTGTGGGAGGAAATGTGTAATGACAGTCTTCTATTGAAAAGCTGTATTGATAAAAACAGATTTCAGTACTGTGTGCATGCATGGGCTCATTTCCTAGTTAAACAGTTTGTCTTTGAGTCCTTCACTCCCTGAGGTGGAGTAGATGGAAACAGACAGACCTAGGTTTAGTCATAGCCCTACTACTTACAGTTCATGTGACCTTGAAAGAGGTCCTTCTCTTTTTGTTGTTTTGTTTTTGTCCCTGTTCCTACCCCCACCCCGACATACATACAGGGTTCTCTCTGTGTAGCCCTGGCTGTCCTGGAACTCTCTCTGTAAACAAGGCTGGCATTAAACTCGGAGATCCACCTGCCTCTGTGTCAAGTGTTGGGATTAAAGGTGTGCACCATCACTGCCTCGCTTTTTAAATTTTATTTTATGTGTACTTGTGTTTTGCCTGCATGTGTGTCTGTGTTGGATCCCCTGGAAGAGCAGCCAATGCTCTTAACCACTGAGCCATCTCTTAGATTTTATACCATCACATTCTTGATTACAGACACTCTATTGTGCCCAGGAGTGAAATTCCTCAGGCCTTTGCAGGAAATAGAAGGATCTTCATGTACGACAGAAGTGTACTCTACATTATAACTACTGTCAATGGGGCAGGGTTAGTTCCTAAGGAATATGCTGCCTAGGACACAAGAAAGGCGTCCACAATCCTGAGGAAGCCAACTTACATGTCTGTGAAGAGGGCTGGAGAGTCAGGCCGATGAGACTGCACATCCTGCATAGCATTCCATTCATTGACTGAGGATTGATCTGAGTTGATATGGCTCTCATAATAACTCACCCAAGTGAGGAAAAGGCTGCCTGGATAGTAGTTATGCATTCTGGCCACTTCACAAGCCTTGTGCAAGCTCTGTAGTGCAGACCTGAAAGATAGGCCTAGAAATGAGCACTATAGAATTATGGCATACCAAAAGGATAAAACCCATGTCTATCTCAAACTCCTCTAATTTTTGAATTCTACAGAGTATTATTTCTCTGGAGAATTTCCTCCCTTTCTGGAAGCCAAGACTCTGTGATCTTGATGCATCCTCAAGGTAAGGAGCGGGGGGAGGGGAAGAGAACTGACAACTAACTCCCCAGTGGGAAAAAGGTCTAGGAACCTATGGCCTCATGACTCCTGTTGTGACTGTGTCATTAGCAAACAAAAACTCAACAATTAACTATTCAAAATTTGTTTCCCTTTGGCACAGAATCATGTGATAGCTTATTCTCTCCGATTCTTACAGGCTCCACAGAGATCACATAGGCAGATGCCCCTAAGCCATGAGGCTATGTACTTTGATGTCCAGGAAGTACTGACCTAATGGCATTTACCATTCTTGCTACCTTAGTCTCCCAGTTCTTTAAGCCATTTATTCATTCACATGAGTTCCTTTCTAAGAATAGCTCTGGCTACCCTGAGGCTAAATTAAACCTTCTGACTCTGAGCTCAGAAACCCAAGAAGGGTAAACAAAACTAAAAACCATGTTTTTTCTATTTACCTAAGCTAAAGCTAGAAATGCTAGAAGTAAACAAAGACAAACAAAAGAAATACTAGGAAGTAACTTACACAAGACCAAGGACCATTCTACATTTTGTTTATTGGTTTATTTCAGTGATTAAAAAGGCCTAGATCATAGCGGGAACTCAAATAAATGACTTATTAGCTACAAACTAATATTTTTTTCTTGAAGAAAAAGGAAATGCAAGAGAATTCCATGGCCATTCATTTACATACTTTTCTTTATAACACTTATTATTTTTTTAAAAATTATTTTATGTGTATGAGTGCTTTGACTGTATGTCTGTGCACCATATGTGTGCCTGGTGTCCAAGAGGTTAGAAGACGATGAAGGAGTCCCTGGAACTGTAGTTACAGAGGGTTATGAACCACCATTTGAAGGTTGGATATTGAACTTGGGACTTCTGCAAGCACAATAAGTATTTTTAACTGCTGAGCCAACTTTCTAGCACCTATCATTTTTTAAAACAAATATTGATTTGTGTGTGAGTGGGTGCACATGCCACAGCAGCATCCATATGCGGACAGAGGTCAATTTGGGGGGCATTACTTCTTTCTTCCACCAGGTATGTCCTGGAGATCAAACTCAGGCTCTTAGTCTTGGTGGCCAGTGCCTTTACTAAGCCATTTCAAGTGATCTTACATATTTTTGTTAAAAATACCTTTTATTTTTCCCCCTCCTAAGAAAAGTGATCCATGCTCATTTGGAAAAAGTTCTATAGTTAGCCAGACATGGTGGCATCTGCCTTTAATCCCAGTAGTCAGGAGGCAAAGGCAGGCAGATCTCTGAGTTTGAAGCCAGCCTGGTCTTCAGAGCGAGTTCTAGGACAGTCAGAGCTATGTAGAGAGACCCTGTCTAAAAAAACCAAAACCAAAACATAACTAGTTCTATAGTGCTTGTGTAGTATGCAGGAGGCACCGAGTTTGATTCACAGGGCCACAAAATAAACAAACAAAATAATGTCAGGAATATCATGTCATCCTAGCCTCACTATTCAGTTTGGAGCTACTCTTTCCAATTCCTTGGCATATCCGCAGGCTCTAATAAAAACTGTATGGCTGTATCATGCACTTATGCTTATGCACTTGCTCTTTTCCTTTATAGCCTGTCATCAACATCTGACTTCAATATTCTCCAACTATATTTTTTTGAGACAGGCTCTCATGTAGCCTAGACCTGGAACTCACTGTAGAGTTCACTAGGACTTTGAACTTAGAACATCTACTGTCTCCACCCCTGCTACTCCCCGAGTCCTGGGAATACAGGGGATGTGTCTCAACACTCAGTTTTAACCAGATCATTTTGTAATCATGAAAATTTAATGGTTATTTAATAGTCAATTACACGCATATGCCAAAATTTAACTGATTCCTAGTTTTCAAGCATTTAAATTCTATTGTTATTACTAGAATCCCAACAAACATTCCTTACAGCTAAAATCTTTGTACATCCATTTTTATAACCTCAGAGTAAATTTTTATAATTACTACATTAAAAATGATAAGGAATATTGGCAAATCACTCTCCAGAAAGGTTACTCTAGTTTATTCTACCAATGTCTGAATCTGTTAAGTTCATGTTAATTTTATATCATATAAACTTTTTGAAAAACAGCTCATTGAATTAGGCTTATTTTGGGGGGTTTGTTTGTTTGTTTGTTTGTTTGTGACAGGGTTTCCCTGTGTAGTCCTGCCTATTCTGGAACTCTGTAGACCAGGCTGGCCTTGAACTCAGAGATCTGCCAGCCTCTGCCTCTCTGGTGCTGGGATTAAAGGAATGCGCCACCACTGCCTGGCTTTAAATTAGTTTTTTAAAATTAGATTTATTCATTTTATTTTATGTGTTGAGTGTTTGGCCTGCATGTACATATGTGCACCATGTGCATGCATGGAGGTCAGAAGAAGGAGCTGATTGCCTGCAACTGGATTTACAGATGGCTGTGAACCACCATGGGGGTACTGGGAATTGAACCTGGGTCCTCTACAAGAGCAACAAATGCTCTTAATGGATGAGCCATTTCTCCAGCCCCCAGTCTCCCCCCCCCAACACCAGTTTAGTTAAGGTAACCCACCAGTTACTTTTAATTATTAAAAAAATTTTTTTTAAAGACAAGGATTCATGGTAGCCCAGACTAGCTGTGAACTTGTTATATAATCAAGGCTGTCCTTGAACTCCTGACCCTCTGTCCTCTTGCCTTCTAGATACTGGGATTAAGATGTGTGTTCCCATGCTAGGCTAATTTAAAACAAACAAAACAAAGTTGTAGAGGCTGGAGAGATGGCTTAGAAGTTAAGAGCGTTTGCTGCTCTTGCAGAGGACCTGGGTTGGATTCCTAGCGCCTACATGGTGGCTCACAATGGCCAATAATTCCAGTTCCAAGGGATTCAACACCGCCTTCTGGCCTCCTTGGGTCATGGTGCACATGGTGCATGCAAACTTATGCAGGCATACACATACACATATACATAAAAATAATAAATTAAAAAAAGAAGTTGTAGACTCTCTAAAAGTATTTTAAAAATATAATCTCAGGTTTTATTTCTGAAGTGTGTACACATTTGTGTGAATTTACATGGGCACTTGTGCATGTGTGTTCCTGCATGAAGCCAGATGTCAATCAATGTTGGGTGTCTTCCTCAATCCCTTGGCTCATTTTTTTTTTTGAGAAAGAATTTCTCATTGAGCTTAGCGCTAACCAATTTGGCTAGGCTAGTTGGATAATGAGCTTCAGAGATTTGCCTGTCTCGAGCATTTTTTTCCTTTTCCTTTTTTTTAAAGTAGATATTGCAGATTGAATAAGTCTCCAGGCTTGTGTAGCAAACACTTACCTGACTGAGCCATCTGTTAGTCCCCTAAACTGTTTCCTAATACTCAAAATAGGCAAATACTCAGAGAATTTCAGTTTCATTCCAGTGATTCCACACATGCTCTCTTCATTTGGAAATGTATGCTTTATAATCATACCTCACAGAGTCTGCTGCAACTGCCCTAAAATACACTCAGTGTTAGCTGCTTCAGATACAATGGCTGCGTGTAGGAGTGGGAGGCCACAGCCACTAGTGTCCAGTTAGGGAAACATCTGGTCTCAATAATGCTTGGGGCCACATCACTAGTATTTCTCTCCTATGACTTTCAATTCAATATTCTTAAAAAAGTTAACAGAACTGTGACTAGTGAGTTTACTTTAAACATCAATTCTTGATCTGAGTTATTATTTGAATTAAGGCTGCTCCTTTAATTTCTGCCTCCTCAAAATATATCTGAAAGTACTGTCATCCTACTGGTACCCATGGGATAGACAGGTTAGCTACTTTTAACTGAGTATTAGTCAAAGGAGATCATTAAATTTTCTATAAGTTCATTTGTGAACTATGCTCTAAGTCTATAAATGTGGTCTAAGCTCATCTAAAACCCTGCCCACCTTAATTACTATATAAGAAAGTCAACTGTTTAGTGACAATGAGGATTCTACACACCTAAATCCTATCGCTCCTGTTATGCAGGGTTAGATTATTTCCAGACTTATTTCACTTCTTCTTTTGTTTGCCTTATCTCCATTCTGCTCATTATGGGGGACTTCTACTATAGGACAGGCAGTGGAAAGAGAAGCAGAAATTTATTATTTATTTATTTATTTTTTGTTGTTGTTGTTGTGTGTGTGTGTGTGTGTGTGTGTGTGTGTGTATGTGTGTGGTCTGACTGCATATGAACAGATTTGAGTGTGCACATATATGTGTGTGCTCCGGTAGGTCAGAGGTCAATGTTGTATGTCTTCCTCAGTTGCTGTCCATCCAATTATTTGAGATAAGGTCTCACTGAATCTGGATCTCATTGACTTAGCTAGACTGGCAGGCTAGCAAGTTCCAGGGATTTGCCTGTCCCCCATCCCTTTTCTTCCCCAATTCCCTGCGACCCGGGTACAGATGAGCACTGCTATGCCTGGCTTTTTATGTGAGCATTAGGGATCTGAATTCAGATCCTTACGCTTGCATGACACTTTACTGACTGAACTATTTCAGTCCCCAGAAGCTAAAGACTGCTGAGCCGAAAGTCTCATTATTCCCTGGTTATATTAGATCATTTTCTAGATGAGTGAACAAGAGTCTATTCTATCTAAATAAACAAGATACTCTTTCTTAGGCCAGACATGTAACCCTTGCAATGCCTCAGTTCTTTCATCCACAATAGGGTGCTAACAACACTATTGTGCGGCACCAGTTTAATGATTAAATATAAGCCATGTGAAGCATCGGAACACAGTGAATAACTTGAAAGTGTCAGTATATGGATGGTTATTAACAATGGTTTCTTTAGGCTTTATTTGTATTACACAAACAACTGTCAGTACTTTAAAAGGAAATGTATCTATCTACAATATAACACTGTCAAGGCTATCTCTGATTATCCTAGGAAACCAAAAAAGCTAGTGCATAGCAGTAAAATGTCTAGACTTGGCTCTCACACTAAGCATGGTCAGTGTGAAACACAGTTCTAACAGGTTCTCTAACCCATTAGCATCTCTTCTAAAGCCCCAAATTACCTCTGAATTTTACTTTTTCACGAATGCACAAAGCTTTCCACTGTGACATTGTAAAAACTACATTTCTAGGCTACTTTAATTATGGTTACCACACAGATCACACACAAATCCTCTACATATACAGTATGTATATAAATAGGGAATTGTATCATTTCAAATTCTACTTCTTTCACAAAGCATTATTTTAATAATGTTAAAGAACTTTTTTTGTGGAACTACTTTAAAAAAACAACACGGTTTTATAGAGATATCAAAAGCCATCTTACCACATTGCTTGCACAGATACTGGTTTGAATATGTGAACTCTGTTATCTGTTGATACGCTGAACCCACTAAGAGCAAAAGAGAACAAAGAGATAAAAGTCCACAAATATGGGTCAGGTATTTCAGGTTTGCTACACCTGCTGACGGATTAAATAGAAGAAATAATCAGTATGTCATCCGGAAGTTAACTAGAAGTAGGATGTGACTGAAAAGTTCCAACATGGCAGCTGAGAGGAGGACAATCGGCCTTCTCCAGGGACAAGGCTTATCTGCTAGGTAATCCAGTTCCAAGTGGTCATATCTAAACACATACACATATGAGCAATACTAAATGAACTCAGCAAACTGTAGTTATATATACATATGCATGAAATAATAATTCAAGATGAAGTAGTCATGAATTTGAGAGGAAGTGGGGGAACGTAAGAGGAGTTTGGGAGAGGGTGAGAATTGTATAAATACAGTACTCATTATAAAATTCTCAAAAAAACAACAACAACAAATTCTCAAAAATAAATTTAAATAAAGAAAAGCATTAATAAATTGACTTTATCTACTAGGCAAAATTAAGTTGTCCTGATATATATTTCTATTTAGAAGTCTTTTGATTCAGAGCAAACCTGACCTGGGTTTATAAATTGGAGTAAACATTTGGGTCTCTTGGGAGAACATTCTACAAACACCAGGAGGTGGGGGTGGCTGACTGGAAGGAACTGGCTCAGGAAAGGGGTTACACAGCAGGCTGACAGCTGGCAGAAGCCACAGAGGTTATTTGAAACAGAACACATCATCCTTTGGGAGAACACTGCAAGAGCAGTCCCACATGTTCACATTAAAGGGTGAGCCAACAAACTACTACTTCTTTGTCTGGCTTCCTACCATAGTCAGCTTAGAAGAACAGAAGTGAGAGACCCTGGCAAGTTGTACTTTATTCTACTTACAAAAAGGCAGTTTAAAAGGCCTCTGAGCTGCCGACATGTCAGTTCAGTTGGGCACACTGGGCCTCCCATTCAGCTGAATGAATGAGCCACTAAGACTGAGATGAGCCTACACCCCTGGGCTTTCTGTGGGAGGAGGAAGAAAGAGAAAGCTCTTACCCGTCACCATCCAAATGAATTAGGGTATCACTCCAGAGAGGCAAGACTAAGCCCATGGTACAAGTGCTACTGCAAGACAAGGAAAAATCATTAAGTTACTTTCTGTTATCCTAGGAAGCAGTCATCATTTACTAACTTTTAACACAAGGAATAAACCTCCAAGCAATAAAATGTGTCATCAATGTTAGAGTAGAGAAATTTCTATCATATTACTATTAATCCCATATATGTTCTCAGGAGTACTTTAAAAGGGATGGCCAGCTATTCCTTATATATTTGACAAAGAAAATTTATTGACTGAACTTCCCGTATTGTCTTATAAGTAGCTACTATCTTAAAAAAATCCAAGTAATTACTGCTGACTTGCATTTGGTAGGTCTCAACCCAGGATACAAAATCCAACTCAATTCCAAGCATTATATCTTTTTATTGTTTCAGGGGTTAAGAGGCATGAACAAAGTCTCATACAGCCCAGGCTGGCCTCAAACGCACAACAAAGCAGAGGCTGGCCTTGAAATCCTGATCCTTCAACCTTCACCTCCCAAGTGCTGGGATTACAGGTACACATCGCCACAGCTGCCCTCAAGGATTAGTTCTAATGTCAAGAACTATTGTTAATTGCTCAAGGTCTTGGAATAAATGACTTATTCAATTCTAAGATTTACTGAACACTAGGAATACCCAGTCTTGAAAGGAATTAAAAAATGTACAGAACTAAGTCATGAATAGTTATTAAGTTAGAGAAATAAAAAATACAATTTAAATGAAAGAGTACTTAGTCTTGTATGTGTGTATATGTGTGTTTAAATGAGATTTAAAAAACTTTTTATTAAATTTTATTTTTATTTTATGTGTATTCTGCATGCATGTATTTCTGCGAACCATTTGTGTATCTGGTACCTGTGGAAGCCAGAAGGGGGTGTTGGATTCCCCAGGACTGGAGTTACAGATGGCTGTGAGCTGTCATATGGGTGCTGGGAATTGAACCTGGGTCCTCAGAGGACCCATATGACAGCTCACAGCTGTCTTTTAACTTCTGAACCACCTCTCCACAGTCTTATTTTGTTTGTTTTAAGAGAGTCTCACTGTGTAGTCCAGACTGGCCTTGAACTCAAAATTCTCTTGTCTCAGCATTCTCTACCTTGAGATTACATGGTATCACACCTGACAAAATAATGCTATGTACTGACCTAGCTGGCTGAAATGTAGAATAGAGACATCAGCAACCAACAAATGGGTGGTCCTACTATGGTATACTAAAATACTGCTCCAGGTTCTGGGGGTTATGTAGATGTAACCAACCGTCTTATTAAATAAGAAACACAGAACCAATGCAAAGAAGAAAGCCAAGAGATCAGAGCTAAGAGCCTTACCCGCCTGCTGCAGCTAGCCTCTTCAGCCAAGAGACCTCTCCAAAAGAGAGCTACTTCCTGTCTGTTTGTCTTTATATAGACTTTCTGTCCTGCCTTCTCATTGGTTGTAAACCCAACCACATGACTGCCTCGTCACTGCCTGTTTGTACAGACCTCCAGATCTTCTATGGTCGGTATTGAGAAGAAAGGCGTGTGTCTCCAATGCTGGCTGTATCCTTGAACACACAGAGATCTACCTAGCTCTGCCTACCAAGTGTTGGGATTAAAGGCGTGCGCCACAAATGCCCAGCTCTGCTATGGCTTGCTATTAGCTCTGACCCCCAGGCAACTTTATTTATTAACACAGAAATAAAATAACATTTCAGTACAAATAAAATATCACCATAGGGTTGCAACTCAGAGGTAGAGTACTTGTGAGGCCCTGGGGTCAACTACACATCAGCCTAGGAAGGAAACTGGCTCTAAGCGAATAGAATAGGCTAGTGCAGGAAGCCCTGGTCTCCTGACCAATTATTGTATGCTCTGTGACTCCACTTCTCTGGACAACCTTTACCATTTTTGTCCCTTTCTCTTCTTCAGGATCTTTAAAGTTTTTAGTTTTGTTAGCTATGGTAGCACACACCTTTAATTCCAGTACTTGGGAAGCAGAGGCAGCAGATCTTGGTGAGGCCAGTCTACTCTACAACAGTAAGTTCCAGGCCAGCCAGGGAGACTTCTATCTCTCACACATAAGAAATCTTTTTGAAGATACATGAATGTGTACACATAGCTGTGTGTGGGCATGCGCACATGAGTGCAGATGCCTGTGGAGGCCAAAGGCTTCATATCTCCTGGAGCTAGAGTTATGGGCAACCACTGTTGATGCTGGGAAGCGTGCTTGAGTTTTCTGCAAGAAAAATGTATATTCTGCTTAGCCATCTCTTCTGCCCCTTTCTAAGGATATGTCTTAAACTACTTCCTGCTTCTGGTCATTTTCCAAAGGATCCTTCATCTGCTCCCTGCCAATATGTCTAGAGACAGCAGTAGAGCAGAAAGAACACGGTGTGGGAGTGGGACATGGAGTGGTTAAGATCACAGGCTATCAGTCAGATGGACTCTGGAACTGAGTTCTAGTAACCTTTCTCCCAGGGCCTTGGACATGCTAGATAAGAGCTCTCTGCCTCTGATCTACACCTCAGCCTTTAACTATGCAGTCTTAAACAAATTACTTAATTGCTTTGTGTTGGTCTCTTCATCTATAAAAGAGGGACAAAATAACCTTTATTGCATTGTTTTAAGATCAATCAAGTGTATAAAAACATATATAAGGGTGCCTAAACAACAATAATTTCTATTTAGAACGCCTCTGACCAGTTACTTAACTCCTCTCAGCCTTAGGTTCTTTATCTTTAAACATAGGTAATAGAACCTATCTTCACAGGAAGTGGTTAGAAGGAGGAAAGGAGGAGGAGGATAATATATCTTAATTTAAAAAGATACCATATAACAGCTCACAACTTTCTATAATTCTAACTCCAGAGGATCCAACACCTTCTTCTGGACTCTGTGGGCACTACATTCACACAACGCACAGACATACATGCAGGCAAAACACCCATACACATAAAATAAAATTAAGAAAACAAATCTTTAAAAGAAGATTTAGAATAAAGCTAGGCATGGTGACACAAGGTACATGGGAGGGTGAGGCAGGAGGATTGTGAGCTCAAGGTCAGTCTGAGTTAGAGTGTGTTTCAGGCATTGGCTTATAGAGTGGCACCCTGTTGCTCTCCCTGGCTCCCCCAACCCCCACCAAAAAAAAAAAAACCTCAGAAGGAGAAAGAAAATATAAATATTTAAGATCCCTCTCTAACAGTTAATCAAGGAATCAAGGAGACATTATAATTTAAAACACAGGTGCACCAAACTCTGACGCATTCAATTTCAATTTTAGCTACTGGAATTAAATTATGATTAGGTGTTTCACCAGGTGGTGGTGGTGCATGCCTTTAATCCCAGCACTCGGGAGGCAGAGGCAGGTGGATCTCCGTGAGTTTGAGGTCTGCCTGGGCTACAGAGTGAGTTCCAGGAAAGGCGTCAAAAGCTACACAGAGAAACCCTTCTCAAAAAAACCAAAAACCAAAAAACAAAACCCAAAAAACCAAAACCAAACCAAACCAAACCAAGACAAAAAAAGCTATAACAAACCCAAAACCCCAACCACCCCAACCACCTAAAATCAAACCAACATAGAAAACGACAACAACAATCCAAAACCAGAGTCCAGAGAGATGGCTCATTGGCTAATAGTGCTTGTTGTTCTTGCAGAGAACCTGAATTCAGGTCTCAGCAACCAGGTCAGGCAGTTCACAACTGCCTGTTCCTCAGCTCCAGGAGATCTAACATTCTTCTGGCCTGCATGGGCATCTGCAATGCATGTGGTGTTTGCACATACATGTGCTTGGACACATACACACACCCCTAAACAAACAACAACAACAAAACCCCAGAGTTAGATATGGTGATATACATATATAATTCCAGCACTCAGGAGACTGAGGCAAGAGAATTTTGAGTTCCAGGAAATCCTGGGCTTCATAGTGAGAATCTTTCCCAAGGGGTGGGGGAAGCTGAGGAGTAACAAACAAGCACCTACCTCTCGGAAAAAGAGCTACTTCCTGTGTGTATGTCTTTAAATAGTCTTTCTGTTCTGCCTTCTCATTGGTTGTAAACCCAAACACATGACTGTCAAAGCCTTTCTTTTACTGTCAACAGGCTCACTCAAAGAGAAGACATATAAGGTTTGACAATGCTAGGCTTAACGAAAAGAAACTAATTTCTAGCTCTTCATGTCCCAGTTTGTTTCTGAGACACTAAAATTTGATCAGTGCAATGGCATCTGCCAGGTATGATCCAGATAGACTAATAGAACAAACTGATGTGATTTGCCGAGGATAAATTACTAGGCACCCATGGAAAGTCCGCCCAGCCATCTGATGGTTGACACTCTGGAGTCAGAATCTGTAGTTACTGCCTCCAGTCTCCAGGGGAAGGAAGTCTCAGCTCAAGTTTCCATGCACTTGTAGTTCCTGTCCTAGGTTTTCTTTTCCTTTTGTCTTTTTTTTTTTTTTTTTTTTTTTAGATAGGGTTTCTCTTTGTAGTCCTGGCTGTCCTGGAACTCTGTAGATCAGGCTGGCCTCAAACTCACAAAGAACCTCCTGCCTCTGCCTCCAGAGTTCTGGGACTAAAGGCCTGCATCATCATGCCTGACATCTACAGGTTTTCAAGGGAGGGGTTGGGGGAACTAAACAAAGGAAACATGGCCACAGTAATTCTGTTTAACTGAATTTTCTGCAATAATGGAAATATTCTGTACACATATGCTGTCCCATATGGGAGCCGTTAACCACACATGACTACTAAGTATATGAAATATGACTAGTTATGAAAGAACATTTTTTAAATATGTCATTAGTATTTATTTACTTAAAAAGCTACAGGTGTCTAGTGGCAAATGTACTAGACACTATAGGTCCAGACAGGTAAAAGTCCAAATCAGAGATCATAAAATTCCAATGTGGAAACATAGGTAGTTTCCCACTTCCTCCTCCTGAGACAATCTTGTTATATATAGCCCCAGATGGTCTGAAACTTACTACATAGACCAGGCTGGCCTCAACTTCTTGGCAATTCTCCTGACTCTGTTTCTGGAGTGCTGGAATTACTGGAGCATGCCACTCTTCTCACAAAATAAGTGCTTTCTTACTAAAAGGCCTGTTATTTAGGGAAAACATCAGAAGTCAAAACTTCAAGAGAAAGCTTCCTACAAGTGGTTGCCAAGCCTCTGTAAGTTCAGAGCATATAAGTAAATGCTGTAACTGGTGTACAAGTCACAGCTCTGGCCCTGTCATCTTCGTGAACTCAGAAGTCATTCCCTAAGTTGACCTCTGTCTTATTCATTTATTTATTTATTTATAAAATCAACTTGACACCTTTGGGAAGTGGGAATGAAACTCAACTGAATAGTTGCCTTGATTGGATTATTCTGTCAGCTTGCCTATAGGGGCATTTTCTTGACTGCTGATTGATGTAGAAGGTGCTAGCCTATTGTGGGCATGTGAGCCTGGGAGCAAGTAAGCAAGCAGCATTTGTCTCTGTGGTGTCTGTTCAGTCCCTGCCTCCCCTTGATGTTGGACTGTAACCTGTAAGCTGAAATCTTTCCTCCCCAAGTTGTTTTTAATGATTTTGTTTTGTGTGCATGGGGTAGCATGTTGGAGGTAGGAAGAGGACAACTTGAGTGAGTTGGTTCTCTCCACCATGTGGGTCTCAGGGACTGAACTTAGGGTGTCAGGCTGGGCAGCAGTCGTACTACCCACTCAGCTATCTCACCAAGTCTGTTTCTGTCAGAGCTTTATCACAGCAACACAAAGCAAATCAAGACAGTTTCTATGTACAAACTAGGGTAAAGGCTGGGTTTGGGAACTTTCTAGTGATCCTGGGATCTCCCTGCCTCTCTACAAAATCAGGACAATGAGACTCAATAGCAATCCTGCTACAAACATTTTTTTTTGGTGGATAAATTTCCCCAGGCCTGGGTCACACCCCTAGCTACTGCACAGTTCCATTCTAGTCCTGAACCAGGAAGTCATGGTTTGAGACATCTGACAGGATTTCCTGAGGCTTATTATCTCAGAGTGTAAAGATCTGCTTAGCAGCCACATTCCATAGTCTTCCCAAAGGTTCTTCAGAAAGAGTAGAAAAATAGAACAGAAAAGCCTTAAGCCTTTAGGATACAACCCCCGAAAGCCCCAAAACAACAACAACAACAACAACAACAACAAAAATCTAGGTTCTGTCAGAGGTATCTTTAATTACAGGAATCAAAGTACACCTGATTTGTAAACCCAGGACCATTGGTACATTATCAAGAAAGGCATGTACCCTAGGATTACCAAAGTAGAGAATCACTGATGGAAAGAATTAGACTAACAGGAAAAAGCAACATTTCCCCCATTTGCTTAATTATTATCATTAGTACCTAGTAATGAGGGAAAGTTAGGAATAAAAATAGTAAATTAGAAATAGCCCAAGACATTTAGCAAGTGTGCTTGTCTTTGAAGATCATGGCCAAGACTTATTTTCTAGTTTTATGCCTTGATTTTTCTATGTGTGTGTGTACATGTGTTCATATGTTTATGGGGTGCATGTGGAGGTCAGACATCAACCTTGGGTATCTTCCTCATTGCTCTTCACTTTAGAGACATAGTTTCTCACTGAACTTGGTTCTCACAGATTTGGCTAGGTTGGCTCCCTGGCTGGCCATCTGCCAGCCAGCTAGTTCCAGGGATTACTCTGTCTCTACTTCCTCAGTGCTGGGATTATAGGCACATGCTGCTGTGTCTAAATTTTCACCAATGCTAGGGATTGAACTCAGGTACTTGAGCTTGCATGGCAAATACTTAACCAACTGAACCATCTTCTCAGGCTGTCATGAATTATTTAACTTAAAACTTCATTACCACATACTCACTATAAAAGATAATGGGTTTTACTGTGACACTTTTCATATATATATCTCAATCAATCCATAAACATAAATATTGTGGTAGTTTGAATAAGAATGGCCCCCATAGGCTCATATACTTGCTTAGTCATCAGGAAGTGGCACTACTTGAGAAGGATTAGGAGGTATGGCCCTTGTTGGAGTAGGTATGGTCTTGTTGGAAGAAATGAGTTACTGGGGGGTGGGCTTTGAGGTTTCAAAAGCCCAAGTCAGGCCCAGTGGCTCTCTCTTCCTGCTGCCTGTGGATCTGGATATAGAACTCTGAGCTACTTCTCCAGCACCATGTCTGCCTGAGTGCTGCCATGCTCCCTGCCATGATGATAACGGACTAAACCTCTGAAACTGTAAGTCAGCCCCAATTAAATGCTTTCTTTTATAAGAGTTGCTGTGGTCATGGTGTCTCTTCTCAGCAATAGAACAGTGACCAAGACGTATATCAAGAATACAAGCTGGGCATGGTGACTCACACACCTTTAGTCCTAGCACTTGGGAGGCAGAGGCAGGGTGACCTCAGCCTGGTCTACACACACACACACACACACACACACACACACACACACCCTTCATCCTCTTACCTTCTTGTCTAATTTTATTTTGAATTTTAAAAGCATAATTATGCAAGACATTTTTGTAATAGTTCAAATAACTATACTACGTTAATTAAAAGGTAGTTTTCATGTTCCTCCCCCATTTTTTAATGGTACCATACCTGTCATTAGACGAAAAATCCATTCCCAGGACAATGCTTTCTTCCGTGTCTTGTCTACCATTAGTTGAAACCACCACCATATAGCGTGTTCGATTTTGGTAAGTACTTTCCAATCTTACAGCCTGAGGTCAACAGATAATAAAGAAACAAGGAATTTAGAGAATTTTTAAATCATTTAATCTTTTTTTTTTTTTTTTTTAAACCAGCATCTCATAGCATGCTACCAAGGCAAAAAGGTGATAGTTGGGAGACCTAACTTCAAAATTCAACTCAAATATTAACTATAAAATCTTTGATATAATACTAAATTAATGGGGGGTATAAGATAATACCTATGTTGTTTTAAGAATCTTATAACTGGGTATACAAACCACACTTAAGGCAGGACTCATGCCCAGTAGTAGATGGCCAACATAAAATGAACTCAATGGTATTTTTTGTAGATTTTTTTTTTGTGGGGGGAAACTCATATTGCTTTTGTTTAGGCTTTTTTAAAAACAAACAAACAAACAAACAAAACTTAACCTAACTGGTCTTTTGCTTATATTATGGTTTCTGATTTTGTGTTTTCATTGATTTCTTTTGTGTGTGTGTATGTCTGTGTTTCTTGTGCATTTTCATTGTTTTTTCTTTTTATTTATTCTGATTTGTTTTAAAGAGAGATAAAGAAGATGTGGAGTTGGATGGAAGGAGATGAGGGAGAGGAAATTGTGATCAGAATATTTTATATGAAAAAATTTATTTTCAATAAAAATAAAATGAACATTATATACAGGATAAGTATATAAGTCTCTATAAATATATATTAAGTTGGTCAAACTCAAAATGCTATAGATGTGTATTTTATTGAAATATATAGTACTTATATATATTATAAACTATATACATAATACTTTATAAAAATATATATGTATTTATCAGTCTTATATAGTCTATGTATCTTTATGTACTTACCTATCTCCACAAGCTTTAGGGTAAGGTAATAATCATTCTTATCAAATCCGTTTCTCCTGGTAAATATTCTTTGTTTCACCAAGCTTTAGTTAGGCTCTTGGACTTTGTCCTATATCTGTCTATGCAATTACTTGCAAAATTAAACTTTAGCAAGAACCCCCACTAAATTTATTTATCTGGAGTCTACATCATCCCTACTCGATACTCTTTGACATCTAACTGGGTTTTTCATCCTCTACCATCTCCCAAGTGATATACCATCACCTTGGCCTATCCTCAACTAAAATCCTCTAAATCATTTTAAGCCAAAACTTGATACTGAGGGTTCTCTGAAATAAAAGGCCTATTGATCTTATCTATGGGTAAGTTTTTCAACCACCTGCAGGGAAGTGAGGTAGCAGATGGAAACGTGCCTGCTGGGCCTCAGAGTGAAAGCATATTGTAATAGTTTCTTTTTGTAACTCATAGAAGGAAGAGCTGATTTAGGCTTTAGGGTTCCAGAAGGAGAGTCCATAATGGGGGATGCATGCCAGCAGTTAGCTAGAGCAGGAAGCTCAGATCCCATTTCTATCCACAGGCAGGAAGCACAGCGGCTATAAACCCTCAAAGTTTGTTCCCCATGAACTTCCTCTAGTTAGGCATGACTAATTTCTCAAACAAAATACAAACTGGGGACCAAGTTTTCAAATACCTGAGCCTATAGGAAACATTCTTACTCGAACCACCACATGTTTATACTGAAAAATTTGAGAGGGAAAGAATCCACACTGACTACAGGAAAGAGTGAACTAATGAGAAGCAGGCAGAGGATATGAGACAGGAGGTCAGTCTGTATGAAGAACTCATTGTTTCTTGATTGGCTGGGGTGAACAGTCCAGAAAAATGCATTTATAACGAGAATATGGTGTACAGCCTAGTGGTCTGTTCTCTAGAATTCAGTCTAGGTTTCAAAATCTATTAAGTTAATTTGGCACAAAGGTGTTAACTGATTAGCTTTCCTTTCATATCTTCCCCTCTGTCCTCTAACCCTGATAATTTAGGATAGTTCAGGATTTTTAAATTACATTTGTTTCATTTCTGTGTGTATGTGTGTGGTGCACCCACCTGTGTTTGGATCTGTAGAGACTAGAGGTCAATTCTGGGTACCTTCCTCTAGCCTGAATATTTGCTTTATTGTTTGAGACAGGGTCTCTTCACTGAACCCAAAGATCATTTTGTCTAGACTGGCTGGCCAGCACTGGGATTACAGGCACATGCTGTCCTGTGTGGCTTTTCCTACACGGGTGTTGGGTATCCGAATTCATGTCCTCAGGCTCGCATGATAGTGCACTGCTGCCTAGCTCACAGATTTTTACCAATTCCCCATTTCCTTCCTTCCTTCCTTCCTTCCTTCCTTCCTTCCTTCCTTCCTTCCTTCCTTCCTTCCTTCCTTCCTT